ACCGACTTTGCTTATGTATCTAGTTAGACAGGGTGTCGAATAATGTAATCTGGCTATGTGTCTCAATATATACAAAATGAGTCTAAAGGTAGGCTACATGGCATGCGGTCCCCACATATACTTGTGCCATAGATTTACTCTCGTTGTACATGTTTTGATGGTGTGTTACAGGGTGTACCCGACCTACGACTTTGCCTGTCCGATCGTAGACAGTGTAGAGGGTGTTACTCATGCCCTGAGAACGACCGAGTACCACGACCGCGACTGTCAGTACTTCTGGATCATCGACCATCTCGGTATGTAGGAGTATACGTCATTCCTGCTCAGTCGTGATGTCTTAAAACATTTTTTTAGATATTTTGAACTCGTGTTAGCAGATTTGGGTGTGACTCCTTGTTTTTTTGGGACAACTTCTTTCAGACCTATATACAGGATGTCAAAATTATTGTCAATAGAAACTAATTATTTAGAGTAAATTGTTGGTAAAGTGTTGATTGACTGCTTCAAGTTTGATGTAACATGTGTATGTACGAAAACAACACAGTTAATTTGGAGTGATACTTTTGGCAAGTTGCTACAGATCTTGCTTTGGGATGTTGAAATAATGACTGAAAAGAAAATCTGAAAAATTTAAGCTACAACATACCCCACTTTTTCACTAAGTCTGCTGAAAGTTTGTTCATTACAGTTCCCTGGCTGGTGTCCCTATTAAGATATTTTCCTACTCTCTATCAATTCTACGACAAATAGTAATCGAAAACGAAGCTGTGGGCATCATATTTGTTTTGTCCTCAAAGAAGACATTTAACCCTGATAACTCCAGTCTACCCAGCTGTAAAGTAGCATGAAGCATACCGGGAAGTAAACATGAGAGACAGGCATTATTTAGGGAGCTTGCAAGGGGACTTGTGTGTTTTCTGTAAATTATTTTACAGGAACTGGTGTACAGACCACCAGATTTCTGAGGTTGACAGATCTAGCGTATTGGAGATTTATATCTATTGTCTGGTTCTTGCATGTCTACGGAAGCCACATATTTACGAGTATAGCCGACTTAATCTCCAGAACACTGTGCTGTCCAAGAGGAGGCTTACATGGTTTGTGGATCAGGGAATCGTTGCAGATGGTAAGTCAAATCAGATAATCAATATTTGGAGATTTGATATGAGAAAATCAAATGAAATACCACACATTTTTGAAATATCTTTAAATATGTATATATAACTCAATCAGATTTTTCACTGAGCTAGATGTCTGTGGAACCAAGTTGTCCTAAACTCAACACAGGTATAACAAAGGTCTTTTGAACAGTTAAAACTGTTAGAAATTCAATAGAATACAATGAAATATCCACCTCGGTTTAACTGATATTTTTCCTGTTTGAAATATTGTTTGCATCATTCCCAGGACATTTTGTATGTGTTAAAAAACGCTTCAGTCTCCAATCTTTTTTTTTTTTTTATCACATGTAGGGATGATCCACGATTCCCAACTGTGAGAGGAGTACTGAGGCGGGGTTTGACTGTGGAAGGACTCAAACAATTCATTGTTGCCCAGGTAACCAATCAGATTGAACATGAACTGTGCATGTCTTATGGGTACAATACAAGTGGTATCAGCATCACTCAGGGCTACAGTAAACTGGATTCATCAGGAGGATTTTAATTCAGAAGTCTGTTGAAAAGCATATTTCTTGTTACTGTATTTTACGATTGCAAAGCAAATGTTTGCATAGAAATTTCACACAAGGCATGCTCATGAATTTCCTCATGGATTTTTCCAAGAAAAAGCTAAGTGTAAAGTAAAAGAATCAGTGCCGCCTGTAAAACCGAATTTTTAAGAATTGAAAAAAAAAAATGCTTATTGTTCCAATGGCAAGTCCTGTTATGATCTATACTTTTAATTAATATAGTTGTATAAAATTAAGTTTCAAAATTTTGTTTTCAGGGTTCATCACGTTCCATAGTGATGATGGAATGGGACAAGATTTGGTCTGTCAACAAAAAGGTTAGTATGGGATACTCCAGCTCTACTCAGAACACCATCACATANACCTTAGAAGCATTGGGCTTACACTTCTAGTTAAATTTACCTTATTACACCAAATGCTGATATTTCGGTTATTATCAGCTACATTTGACTTATCCCTAATGCTCTTTATTTTTAGAAACCTTGAAGTGCTTCGACCAGATCCGAAATACAGACATACAGTGTAATACTAATAATTTTCCCTTTACAGCCCCTATACTGGAAAGTGTAGCCCGTGTGTACTACTGAACATCCCAGATGGCCACCAGAAGGAGATGCCAACAGCTGGCTCCAGACACAAACAGGAGGCCAGTGCCAAGGAGGTTAGCAGGGGTTTCCTGTCCCTGGAAAACTTATAGACAATAAAGGGATTATCAGTGATTTATCTACATCCCAGTCCTTTACTCATAGAATTTTGATGGGACACATAGCATTCTGGAATTACTGAAATTATAAACATTGTGTGACCCATTGGTTTTAGCAATACAGTTGAAAAGGACCCATGGAAATATATTGTAAATTGATCACTGGAATATTTACCATTGTTGGGTTTTTGTCACCACTAGTCACTCTTCAGGAATCAAAATAGGTTGTAATGAAAGGAGGATTTCAAAATATCAAGTAGTGTTACACATGTCCTGGCCCACTGCTTTCTGTCCAAATTCGCTGTCATCTCATAATGGTATAAGTTTTATCAAAAAGGATTTTCTAGTAATGGTGACATCAAAATGAAAAGGTATCAGGAGGTTGACTGATAAAACATTGTTCCAGGAAAGCTTGCATAGAAATTCACCGTACCTTAAAAGAGTTTTTAATTGAACATTTTTCATGTCATTTCATAACAAGATAAGGGGAAAATATTCCTTTCATGCGAGTTTGTTTACATATGGACCACAGGTTTTACTCCTAATTTTGGAACCCAGTGCAGAAATTTAAACTTTTAATATGTATGAAATGAAGGACATGCTGTAAGAATGAAGAAATGTTTTTTTCTGCTATAATTACAGAAAGCACAGAGCAAGAAAGGAAGGTCTGCTGAAAAATCTCCACATGAAAACTCTGTCCGTCCCAGGAGGCAGCTCAGCTGACCTTGACACTAAGATTTGTGCCCAAGGTGAACAGGTCAGGAAGCTGAAGACAGAGAAGGCTCCAAAGGTAACTACAGAGCAATATTATAATATCTTTAAATTCATTTACGTTTTCATTGTAAAGCCATTGAATCAACCAAATAAAAAATAGTATATGAAAGCAGCTTTCACCCATAACAAAGCTCTTTAGCTTTATGTCGAGAGGTCATGACGTCACAATTACATCATCACACTATAATAGTAACGTGACGTCACAATGTCCACAAGATTGGTCGACAAACTAGCGCAAAATNCCACAATGTCCACAAGATTGGTGTACAAAATTTTACTGTGGCGTGTTGAGACTTGGTTTTAATATTTCAATAAAAATGATCTTAATATTTTGTCTTAGAACAGTGTCTGTTGATTATAATTGATAAACATGATATATATTCGGTAATACATTGAATTTAGCATCGGCACACACGTTCATATTTCCTTTGACCTGTAAAGTTTGCAATGAGTCAGTTTTGGTTTGTTTTCTATGTACACTCATGCATGTTCTCAGTTCATTAATAGTTTCATCAATGTAAAATTCATCACATTTACAACAAATCAGATTTAGTCTCACCTAGCATACATTTCTAAATAACCTATAGTCTCAGCTAGCATACACTTTTATTTTCACACCTAAAAAAACAAAATATACTGTAGACTGTTTCAGAGTGGTACAGGTGGCAGTAATATATTATTGTTGAGAATTAACATCTACTTTAATCAAATAAATACTCAGTTATCTTGTAAAGAAATATGATAGCATGGTAGAGGTATCTAAAAAGTAACAGGAATACATTTATCTTAAATTTCCCCTCTTTGCTTTTGAATGATAAATTAAATAGTTTCATTTGTCTGAAACCCTGGTTAAAAACAGCAGAGCCTGGATAAAAACAAGAAACACTAACTGTTGAGTGCTTGTTGTAGGACCGGATAGAGCCCGAAGTAAAGATCCTGTTGGCACTAAAGGCCGAGTATAAGTCTGCCACTGGCAAGGGTTGGAAACCAGATGCCAAGCCAGCCCCAGTGACTGCTGCTCCGGCGACTACAGGAGACGGTGACCTATACGACAAGGTCGCAGCACAGGGCACCAGAGTCAGAGATCTTAAATCCCAGAAGGCAAAGAAGGAATCAGATGTTTCATTTATAGCATGAAAAAACCCTTTACAGTCTGTATTTATTACAGTCGACCATCTGTATTAAATGACCATCTGTTTTATGCGACCACTTTTTATTCCTCCCAACCGTTTTTACTATGTACTTTAATTGTATTAAGCGACCATCTGTCTAACGCGACCAGCGACCACCCAAAATGACCCCAAAATTACGTTAAATGACCACATTTGATACATTTTAGCGACCATGTTTAACGAAAATTTACCAAACGATCGTTGAAATATTTGTGTAACCTCCAAATTTGCGACCGTCACCACATTTGACGAAGGGCTAATTCATGATCTTTTTAACAAGTTCAATGAATAAATTTGAAAAAAATTTCCAAACAGTAATTTTTCTAACCGCCGATATTGATGATTTAGCAGGGAAAATACGGACTGATATTTATCGCAGTCGAGCAAAACCATTTTGATTGCGTGAGAGTCCTGCTAGGCAATGTAACCTTTAACCCTACGATATCCTCCATCTGATTGGATGAAGTACACTGGCGGGTTTTCATTCTTGAAAAAGGATCTGTTGACAGATGTTTACGACAGCACTCTCATGCGAAATTATTATTAATTATCAGCACAACTGCGCACTAAATATGTTTATGTAGCATACATATCGTTTCTAATTCCTCATCAATATTAAACGCCTTTTATAACATCCCTGAACTTCTCAACGATACTAACGACAACAATATTTTTTTTAAACTGGATTCTCTTTCCAATTTCCATCGTAAACTAAAGGCATAATACACGTGAACCCATTTGTTGGACCAACACAGGAAATGCTATCATTTCAACAACAATATATTTCGAAACAAGTTTAGCTTAAATAATGGTAATTACCGAAAACACAATCGTGTAAGTTGAGAACTTCAACAAGTCTCCGTCGATCTTTTGTTCTGAGTGTAATGACATTTATTTTCAAACACTCTTTAGTCATTTAGAACAAACTTGATATTTTAGCTCGTTTTGTCCTACGCCATTTGAAGTTAACTCAAAGTACAAACTTTTCCTGGCTCTGACCAGCGATGAAAGGTATTTTCCCTGTAACAACAGTGAAGGTTTAAATACAAGTAGAGAGCAGTGATGATGAACATAAACAAAGAGGGTATATATCGGTTAAAAAAAAAGACATCTTACTTTAACTAGGCAAAAGGAAAAGAAACATTGATTTTTTTTGTTCGTTTGAAAATAATACGTTTATAAATTTAGACTCAATAGAGGTTTTTTTTAATAATGGGGCGAATTTGTATCGACCTTTTTTATCAATACGAAACGATAAGTAGAAGTGAAAAAGTAAACATGATTGATATCTGTCAACAATGTTCAGTTACAACACTGCAGAAACGGCAGCTAAAATACCGCCTACGAATGATTAGTTTTGGGCAAACATTTGTCCGTTGTTGAGCTTCCGTTGGACGAACTGGACAGATGAGTTAGAAGCACGTCAACAATACAAATACCCGTCGCCCAGCTCACGCAGACATTTCAGGAGGAGTGGGATAACGACCATATACAGGTTAATTGGTGTATGGTATAGAGGGTTTATAAACATCATATAGTTCTCTATGATTATACACCCAACCTTTAGACAGCCTTGACATAGTTCATCTAGTAACAATAACACAACTTCAGTCGTAATAATATGATAACTAATTCGTAATAACGAGATCGCTTAAGGTGGCTCCACACTTTCGCAATTAAGCAGCAATATTCGTTGAAACTTTCATATAATGATTATGCAACTATGTAGAGTTGATTTTATGAAAATCTAAACATTCCGATAGTTTGGGGACTTTTTTGGAAAAATACCAAAAAATTGAATTTTCGTCAATTTTAATATTTTCCGTGTTTTTTTTGTGTGTGGCATTGCTCGGAACAATAACAACAATAATAAAATGAAGAGAAGCATTTCTAATTAACCCTACAAATATTTTATTTATCGCAAAATATGTAACACATGTTACACAGAGTGCTTTTTATTGAATTTGTACGGATAAAAGTGATTATCTACAAGCTAAAAGCAAACAGGACACAAAGATCTAAATATATAGAATGGGAAATTGAACAAAATATACATAATGGCTTTATAAATAATTTATTTTACATTTTACAATCACTTTGATCCGGGTGAGAGTTATCTTCCTTGAAAAAAATCGGAACTTTTTGCAGAGAGATGACATTAACTATCAATTTATTGTTCTTTAATGGAACCAAATTACCGTCAGTCATGTACACTTTGGACATCATTCCACAGTCCGCTAACTCACGGTATATTTATTATTACATAACAGGTACATATGTGACCAGAGGCTATCGCATGGTATGCCGTTCTCACGTGCACTCACACATGCATTTCATAGGTATCTTGATATTTTACAAAACATTATTTTCACAGAGTAAGTAGACTTCATTTGTAAACACGATTTAATCGACAAGGCGAAACTCCTTCAACAGCGAAAATCGTAACGACCTCGAGCTTATGAACTCGTGTAAGCACGTGATATGCACATGTGAGGTTAGTACGTCCGCATTCCATGTGTTACCTATATAACCTTCTTGAGGTCGTCTGGTCTCATGTCACTGTCTTCCCGTGAGTCTGTTTATGTCTATGAATTGGAAAGTTTTATTCCTGAAGTACGTGTGATTATACATTTCGGGTGTTGACATATCATCGGCACGCACGTGCACTATTGTTTACCAGGGGCCTGTTCGTTTATGCGGAACAACCGGTTTGACCGTTTATAAATGTAACAACTTCGGGTATAAATCCTTGTGGACCTGCAAATGTGTATGCAGGCCTTGCAAGGTTTTTTCAAGGCTCGCCTGAAAGCAGCATCAGATTACTAGGTCCGACCTTATTTAATAAACGAACATCAGTGGTCCGATCGGTTTGACCGTTTAAACGAAATCGGCCCTGGTTTTACTATAATTTGCACTACGATATCGAATGCCCGATACGCAATACGGAAATGACGATACGGTGTACATGCACTTTTCGACCAAGATAATTGAGTCCGAGCTTTACTTTTTCCGGAAGTACGTCACAAAAATGGACGCTGATGACGATGTGTGGAGCCACCTTAATTCGCAATATCGAGATAACGTAACTCGTAATAACGAGATTAGAACTCGAAACACCAAAATAATGATACTCGTGAAAAAAGACATGGAGTCCCTCGCAAGAACAAGACAACTTAAATCGTAATAACGAGGTAAATTGTCTGGTTATAACGATATATTTTTATTTTTGTATGTTACTACAACCGGCTATCGTATATTTCATATTTCATGGTCACCGTGTCATTATTTAAGATTTATGCAGCTTTGTTTATGTCTAAGATTTCGTTTACTGTGTCATTATTTCTAGGATTTCGTTTACTGTGTCATCGGTCTAAGATTTAGGTCAATACGTCATTGTTTAAAGCACAATGATTTGGATGTCAATTGAACACTTTATACAGACATACCTGAAGTGAAAGAGGATAAACACCTTTTACATAAAAGAAAAATAGGGATTAATGTTTTACAGTACATTACCTTCAAACTGTAAAACGGGTTCAAATAGGATTATTTTCAAATCAGTCGATACCACACTTAAAACAAGAACAAGTCTTATCAAAAAGACTTTTCCTATTTCGTATGCAACTCTGTTTGAATTTTTGAGGATAAATAACTGCTATATAATATGATTCTATTTTTACAAAATGTATTCATTTGTAAAACAATCGAATGTTTCGAAATGTTTAGAGATATCAGTATTGACCATTTAAGTTTTGCTTTCTGTAGCTTTCACCATTGGTGAACTAAAGATAGTTATGGCTAATCGCTAATCGAAATCCCGCACAAACTCATAGCAAAAAATCTAAGTAACGTATTTCAACACTATGTAAATGTAAAACCGTGCGTAGAGTGATTTATCTTAATAGATAAACATTGTTATAAATTGGCTTTGCATGCATTTAACGTGTGATATAGAAAGTACCATTGATTATGTTTAAAGCATGTCAAGTTTATTTATGGCAACATTCGTGTAATACCAAGTGACACTTTATATTTAGTTCATGATCAGTTTACCAAGCTTTCTGTTTTGTTAGAAATCTCAAATTTCAGTACAGCGTATTCTTAAAAACGTTAAGAACTCTTGGTTCATAAGAATAAAAAATAAATCGGCGAAAAAGTTGCAGAAATGCCACGGTCGTAATGTCAAAATTCTGTCGAAGTTCTTCCACAAAAATCTACAAAATTGTTGTTAACGAACAAAAGGTATGTGGACAATATCATCCTCGAAGTCCTTTTTTTTTTGCTGTCAATCAATCTCAATAGAATAATTATCTGCTTTTGTAAGCTTTCGTCAGAGGAGATCGAAATCTCAAAGCAGAGATAAAATTATTCAAAAATTGTAGACAAATACGAAACCCGGTGTATTGTTTCTACTATATGACAAGTCAAAACGAATCTCACTTTACCTTTATTACAGTGAATGACTAGAGCACGATTATATTAGTATCGTGAGTAACTATCGTGAATGGTATTGATGTTTCATCGTATAAGGCGTACTAGGATGTTTTAATTTCCTAGTGTATAGAATACCGAGTAATTCTTGCCGGAGTATTATGCACTCCAATTAAAGCTGATTTAGTTAATTCGTCTTTTTAATTCTGTTCAGTCAATTGAATATTATTGTGAAAGACTTGTGTCATATTCAACGATAAACTTCGTTCATGATAGGCATTTAACATATTTAATAAGACATTTTATGTCGATACAAGCAATCATAAAACTTGTAGTGATGCAAAACTTGTTTCCTTATGCAAATGTAGAAAGGTGTCAGAGATGTCCCTATCAACGCATACATTGTCGTCCAAATGCATATACATATTAATTTAATTCCAGTTTTATCACATCAAGTAATTAGCTTACCAGGCACTAAAATAGATTGATGCATGTATGTGTAAAGAGGAAGAGCGGGTCATTAGCTATATGTGATGTTTTTGATGTGAGGAAGTGACATGACTTGGATTTGACATAGATTCACATGTTTGGTGTTGTCAATAAAGCAGAAGATGCCTACCCATTAAATATAGCGAGCACACTATTATTATTGACTAATAACAGAAAAGCTGCAGAACGAACTTGGTTTTAGCGAACGTTTTACTGATTAACAATATCAAATGAAAAACAGATGTAAAAATATAAAATAATGATTGCTATCTGTCAACATAAGTCGTAATACTACGATAACTTAGTCGTAATAACGAGAGCGCTTAATTTGCAATATCGAGATAACGTAACTCGTAATAACGATATCAGAACTCGAAATACTCGTGGCAAAAGACATGAACAGAACATTCAAAAGGTTTCCGTGAAAAGCATTCCTTTGTTCATATTGTGCAATAGTTATATCGATTTTGAGTTAGGATTATGGTTTTATTGACACTTCGGTATTCTTTTGTTGTTTTCTTGCCTACGTATCCTGATCTATATATAGATAAGGGGGATAGGGGGAGTGTCATAAAGGAATACTATCCTATGGCAGATATTAAATTTGATATACCTTTGTCGATAGCAAAATAAGCACGTTCAGCTATGTCAACTTACCAGAGTTGACCAATCGATATAAACAATTGAGTAAAGGGAAGTTCAGGTATAGCATTGAGTGTGAGTTATTGATGAGCTGGACAGCTACCGGGTATGAGACCCCAAACGTAGTTTCGCACTGGGAGCTAGATAGTAGATAAACTAAACTCAGGTCTTCACAGGGATATTACGGTATTTCTAAAAAAAAACTGCAGCGACACTAATTTACACAATGCAAAACATTATTCAAGATTGAAGTACTCCCATTTGCTCATTAAACGAAGGTTCGCGTAATTCTGTTGTAGACCTGATGGAAAAGATTAAAATGTATATTTGGGCATCTGAATTTGGAGTGTTCTTTGTCGATATTCTTATTTAGTCAAGTTATAAAATATATATAAAGTTTCATCCTCATGACGTGTTTAAATATGGAATTTCGATATATTTTTACGCAGTTCTAAATGATGAGAAACACGACTACATTCGTATTGGTGGAAGTATTTCTTTGGGATGTATCACTGCATCAGTATGTTTTATACATTTTATTGAATCAAATGAGGATTGACTAGGGTAGAAATACTGAGATTCTCCCACGAGATTCGCCTCCAAGATCATCCGGCGCCATATAAACAGAAAATCAGTATATTTACACTTTCTGATAGACTTTTGACTCTCTCCACCAAACCTTTAAAAAAACAAATAAAATTGATTCTTAGAACAAACTTGATATTTTAGCTCGTTCTGTCCTACGCCATTTGAAGTTAACTCAAAGTACAAACTTTTACTGGCTCTGACCAGCGATGAAAGGTATTGTCCCTGTAACAACAGTGAAGGTTTAAATACAAGTAGAGAGCAGTGATGATGAACATAAACAAAGAGGGTATGTATCGGTTACAAAAAAGACATCTTACTTTAACTAGGCAAAAGGAAAAGAAACGTTGATTTTTTTGTTCGTTTGAAAATAATACGTTTTTAAATTTAGACTCAATAGAGGGAATGATGTCCCTCACCACCACCACCGAATTCAGTATATGTCCCTGTTATTATGTGTGTGTTTTTTTAACTCTAAAATGATCATATCAAAAAAAGCAATGTAGAGCGCCTTAAATAAAGAGAGCACCACCACCACCAAATTCAGTATATGTCCCTACTATTATGTGTATTTGTTATTCTATAACAATCATGTTATATAAGTATTGTAGAGCACCATGAAAAAGAGAGCACCGAACTAAATGTATCTATTATTATGGGGGGGCGGGGGTTGTTGTTACTCTTAAACGACCATATTTAAATTAAAGCTTTTTAACTATATGGAGCATCACCATCGCCATCACCGAACTCAGTATGTGTCACTGTTTTGACATGTTTTGTAACTCTAAAGCGATTATATTATATAAGCAATTGAAAGCGCCTGAATTACAGAGAACACAAAACTGACGTTGTATATTACGATAGTAATACGTATGTTATATGATATTCTTAGACATATCCAGGCTCAAATCAACATAAATGAAGCTGGATTAAATTGATATGACGCGTCTACGTAGTGAGTGCAAACATATACCTGGATAAACGTTGATTTAACATACATTACCTGTATTTTCTTATCAAACTGTAACGATATATGAACACATCTGTTTGCCGCAACTAAATAGCTAGTTTCTGATTGGCTGTCTGTGGTCCAGAAATAGATAAGGTACATATAATGCGATAATCTCATTCCTCACTTTCATTTTAATACAACACTCTGTAGTGGAAGTACTATACTAAATTTAATACTCACTATGGTTAATGCAAGTAAACCTGTTAGTTGTACTCTCGTTGGCGATGGAATGGTTGGGAAGACATCTATCGCTCTCAGTTTTATCGGAAAACAGGCGGAAGAAAATTATGTGGCTACAGTATTCGAAAACTATGCAGGTAATAATCGTGACACTAATATAAAAGTTAAGGGTTTGCGTGGTGTCCAGGCGGGGTTTCAATATGTATCGATGAGTTTAAATTCTTTAAATGTATAATTCTTTAATATGCATGTGAATTAGATATGTTCAATTGTCGAAATGTTAATGTATATTTGTGTTAATCAAACTATGATATTTTCTTGTTTTGAAAATCTCTATAATATATAATATCAGAACTTCTCTGTAATAGAACATGACTTGTATAACAGTTTAGTGTATAACTGATATCGAATTAAGTGGCAAAGGTAATAAATGTTTATTAGGACACTAGCTATGTTTCCTGTGGTAACTGACACCCGGGACTTTTTTTTCTTCTATAATCAATGTTGAAACAAGTGTTTGAATTGTGATACTAGTAAAATAAAATAATTAATATTAAAATAATATAAGTCCTTTGTTATATAAATAAGCTATTACAGCCATTAGTTGTGTTTTATATAAATTATGGAATGATATATTATATACGTTAACATTACGCTTGCTTTGTTTTTTCAGGAGGCACCTCAGTTGCCGGCGAGCAATATACTGTCAGCATCTATGATCCTGCAGGCAAGGTAAGCATCTTCACACATAACTGATCAACATCAATATATGTATCTTTATATAATGAATATAAAAAAAAACTAATCTTGTTAATCACAGGTATAGAATTCGTAATTTCTCTTCTTTATTCCTTAAGTATGAAAACAAAATAGATACGAAAGTGTAAAATGTATTTCAAAGCAAAACAGGTTTTAAAAGAAATTTATAAGGGGAAAACTTATTTTCGTCAAAGTTGGCCTAAAAACACAATTTTATTAAAACTTTTATAAAGATAAATCAAAGAATTTGTAATAGAAAATTGGTAACATTATTAATAAACATATATTATCAGTGTCACTTATTTACGCTGGTTATATGATCATACATAGCACGTGGTCATCTTAAGTTTAGATTTTATTATCATAAATATGGTGATAATAGTATCAGTTCGGCCTTGTTAACCGCTCAAACACTGAACGTTAAATTCATTACATTTTTATAATCACTTCAAAATATGTATTCCATAAGTAATAACGACAGTATGGTCCAATAAAGGAACTAGACTAGATCCAAAAAAAATTGTTGAATGCGTATTAGTTTATGTAACTAAATTACTAATTTGAAAAGTTGCTCTCTTATCAAATCATTGAACCTATCGTGAAAGAGGACTTTAATGTTGTATATACATATATTTATTCATATAACATATCTCTATTTCAAACTTAACAAATATGACTAATACAAATCACATTACCTTTTCTAAAGCACTTGAAACTAATTATAAAACTTTTGTTTTTTCCAGCATGACTATGCCAGTATGAGAGTCTGCACTTACACAGACTGCGAGGTGATTCTCATGTGCTACAACGTAAGCGATCGAGACTCATTTGACAGCATCGCCTCATTTTGGCTACCGGAAGTAAGGAAATTTAGGGGCACCAAATCTACAGTCATTCTCGTAGCCACACAGACGGATACCCGGAATCCGGATTCCGACTCGTCAGTTAGTACAGAAGAAGGAGAGAAGTTGGCAAGGGAAATAAACGCTGGGGGATATATGGAAACCACTACCCAAAATTACGATAGTGTTAAAACTGTTTTCGAAAAGGTAGTCACGTGTGCTTTAAAATGCAGGAAGAAAAAAAAAACACTCTTCAAAAAGATCTCTCGTCGTTAAACTATCGGATATGAGGATATGAAGAACATTAAAACAATAGCAGCTATCCAGATGATTGGGAAAAGACAGAAGAAAAAATGAACAAAAATGTCTTTCAAAGACCTGTAGGACTTTCTTCATGTTTTGATGAATAGTTCGTCAAATGGACTTAACGAGAACGATACATGGGTGTTTTGAATTTTTGAAATAAAAGTCCCAGACTTTTTCAGATGGCAACGAAATAACACTGTGATGATCATTTGTAATAATAAGTACGATTCATGTCAGTGCATATAGTTTCAATAACTATAAAAACCCATTTGCGAATCGGAATATGTGATAATAATTTTGTATTTTCTTATCTCTATTTATTAATGACGATGTCGAATTTGAAATCATATTGATGACATATTCCGACCAAATGAACTTCTGTATTTTACGTGAGACAGTGCTGACAATCCAGTATTTTTTTTATATACGTTTACATTATTGACAATGATGATATTCATCTGATTGATTTTGTTACAAAGAGTATGTGCAATATTTGTTAAAAGTTTATTTTTACATGAACATAGCTGCTGGCCAGCACAACGAGTAAAGTCAATAAAACATTGAATTTGGATTTCTTTGTTTTGTGTTTTCCTTCCGAAATGTACCCAACAAGATCACACCAATGAATTGAGACTGTATGTAAATAAATTATAAATGTTTTTGTTAGATGAAACTATGTTATATTTTCTAATTTATAGAGTAAACACCAATTACTATATTAACATTAATGCTTCTTCCTCTACGTGATTTATGAAATGGTCATGATAACACGTCACCAATGAGAGGTAAAGGTAGAAACGATACATAGTATTCACTCCACGCATATATACAATTCTTCTGTAGCCTCGTTATGGATGGTCATATTTTGTCAACAGATACTTTGACGTTATGAAGAGCTTTTGGCAATACATTGACGGAGATGTTGTGAATTGTTCAGAAAAAGTAAGATGGGATGATACTGAAATATGTTGGCGGTAAGCGAGTGGGCAAATGAAACGAGGGTAAATCAAATGTATAACGAAGATATTATAGAAAAAATTAATATCTAACGACCGACTAAAAAACTAGCTACTTTCACCCTTCACATAGCTTTTCATGTTTATTTCAAAAGAAGAACAACTTCGTAACGTCACAATAACATGTCATCACACTACAATAGTAACGTGACATGACGAAGTACACAAGATTGGTGGACATACTAGCGGCAGACTTTTACTGTGGCCTGTTGAGAATTGGTTTTAATATTTTGATTAATTGGTCTTCTTTCTTTTCTCTTATAATAGTGTGTGATGAAAATAACGTATACAAAGGTAATAAATAGAGGATATTAAATGGTGTCTTCAGTAAAAACAAATATATTCCACGAATGTGGCTAATATTTTGATATTAAAAAATATAAAAATATTAGCCACACAAACGATGTCTTTGCGTTGTTATGTTTGGTAGGATATATCATTAAATATGTGCATTATGGTTTTGTTTGTTGTCACTACCCGGGTTCTCGATGTAAGGACGTGATATTACTTGGATTTGACCTTGATTTACGTGGCGGGTGTCGTTGTTGAAGCAGAAGACGCTCACCCTCTAGGAACACCTGGTCTTATTCTCCCTGCTTTCTTTTTACAAGCGACTCCATGTTAATATTATTTTTGTTTATCCAAGTTTTATCGATTTTGGGTTCGAATAATTGTGTTGTTGACACTTTGGCTTTTTCCTGTTGTTTTTACAAACATGATTTATGACACAACATATCATAAGTATAAGCTATTAAATGATAAACGTTTGACAAACACATGTGATTATACCTATACAATTTGGTAATTTATACAGAACGCCATAAGGGATATACACTGTACCATACATTATTTTTTTGTTTTTCTATGACTCATTTGGTGATGCCAGGAACTAAATGGATGGAAATCAAAATTGGTATAAACTAACAGATTACATGTATACAGTTATGTTGTACATGATTGACATTGTTCCTGGAATTTATTTTTTTATTTTCATAAGAATTCCTTCAATTATCGCATACTCAATGAGTCTCCATGGGAGATAAAACAAATGCCAGCAGCAGGTGTTGACAAAGGCAGCGAAGGAACAAGCTTGTGGTGATAATAACACGAGACAATAACACGAAAATAATAGCACAAGACAATAACACGAAAACAATAACTAAAGACCCTGCTATCAAAACAATATCGCTAGATCATCTGATCAAAACATTGACACTTAAATTTGAGAAAAAAAAACAATAAACTTAATCAAAATACCAAAACAATTACAATATACCATAATACCAAAACAATGATACCAGACCAGGATACCAAAACGATAACACTTTACTCTGAGCCAAAACAATATACTAGCCCAAAATCCTAAAATAATTTAAGTCAAAACCAGAGCAATAGCACTAGATTCTAAGACCAAACGATATACCAACTCAATTACACTATACTATTAGACCAAAACCATAACACCTTTTTTTTAATCTCTGATACCAAAACAATATACTAGGCGAACATAACAAAACAATTACAATATATCATGAAACAAAATCAATAACACTAAATACTGAGGCCAAACATATAACACAAAACTGTGCTTATAAGATAATGATTCTACATCAAGAAGTTTTCAATTATCTTGTTTAATTGGAATTCAGTACTTCAAGTGATTATTTTAAAATCATATTTCTATGGTTTTCATAAGTAATATGAGATTTCAAGTATTTTCCTGATTTTCGATAGACGAAAACCAACAAACAAATAAGCTTCTGCATTGCAATATTTCCGAATACCAACTAATGATAAGGATACGGACCTGCCTCGTTTGTATTGGATTCCAAGATTTCGTAAGAATCTTTTATAAACAACGTTTTATCGCTGTCTCTTCCAGTTACTCAACCAAGCCATTAACTAAACGTCCCACTACTATTTCCAGAACCACCAAATCAGGGTTACAGTCGTATTGGGATACTGTAAACTCAGGACGTGGAATAAACTACATGTGGATTTTCGTAAAAAAAAATCTTCTATCGAAACATTTGACCTTTCAACTCTTTACGCAACCATACATCATACCAGACTTGAGGAATGCATTCGTTCTCTTTTTATGAGAGCTTTCTTTTCATAGAAGGCCGAACGGCGATATAAATATATGGTTGTAAATTAGTTTGGAGCACATTTTGGGAATAGCACAACAAATACAAAATAAAATACAGGGAAGACGATATTGTGAGAATGAGTTTATGGTGTACAATTTCTAAGTTTAGTTCGGTTTCAAGATTCTCCAGCAGACTGTAGGCGTTCCTATGGGAACATACTGTATCCCTCCTCTGGACGAAGGTTTTTTCATATGAATCTGAATTTCAAATAAGCTTATCAGGACTGGTAACAAAACCCTAGGCAAGTACATCAATTTCACATTCTGTTTTATCGACGATGAAAAACAAGAAATCCATTGACCACATCGATCGTATATACCCTCCAGAGCTTGAAATCAGAGACACATCACAGACTCTTCTACTTCAGCCGCCTTCCTCGATCTTTACTTACAACATGACAAACAGGGACGGCTTACTACTAAGCTATACGATAAGTAGGACGACTTATAATGGTCTCCATTTAAATCTTTATGTCTTAATATTTTGTAATAGTTTTATCGATTTTGGGTTTGAATTTTGGTTTTGTTAACACTTCGGTATTGTTTTTATTGTAGGGGAGGTCGGCCGGGGGAAAAGGCAGCGCTCGTTTTGTTGTTGTCCTGCATCTAATGAATATGTTAATATTTTTCATTATTCATGTTTGATGTTTGATTGAACATAACATCAAAGTCAGTATTGCCTACGTGTTGGACAATGCATAAAGTATCGTGACAAGAAAGACAACTCGAGCTTTATTTCATATGTCTATTTCTAACGAATCATAAAGCACGAGTTTATTGCGCGGACGAATATATTCACGAGTTCGCGGAGCGCAACGAGTGAATAAATACGTCCGCGCAATAAATGATCGTGTGTGTGGTCTTGCTTTTATCACATACCTTCAGTATTTGGTAGAGATCGATGGCTTTTCTGCATTATCATTTGAAGCTGTCAGTATGTTACACGTTTGACTGTAAAAAAAGTAGCAATTCCGTTTCAAAAAGTTCGCATAACTAGAAGCGTGATCATGATTTTCTTTCTACCCTCTCAAAAGTAATTTTACATTAGAGTTTTCCACGACATTTTTTCGTTCAATGCCCAGCCAACTAAACTGCTAAGATCCTTAAAGATGTAAATATTAGCTCAAAAACAAAAATATCAGGGGTGGCCGAACTTGCCCCGGTTTACCGTATATAGATTTTTGTATCATTGATGATCGGTAAAAATGTATTCACAATATATTTTTAACATCAATGACGCCATTTTCTTCCAGTTAAAGCTAAAGTAGACATTTGTTCTTGTGCGTAACGTATATGATGGGTCGGGTAGCGCAGTGGATAGCGCGCTCGTCTTCACCAAGATGGCCGGATTCAATCCCGGTCACCTTCCCGACCACGCGGGTTTTCTCCGGATACTCCAGCTACCTCCCACATTAAGAATTAAATCCTCTGCGTGCTTCCGTAAGGGCACAAAAAGAATGATTGAGATAAATTTGGGAAAAAACTGTTTGGTAATTACTATAGAAAAAGTCTATATTACATATTTGACAATTAGTCTAAGTAAATGTATAGAGATGTAGGTTAAAAAAGAAATTAAAAAAGAAAACAATGTAATACTTTAATGTAACTGAGATCGTCGTTATATTGATATGTAGTCTCAAGCACTGTTCCATCCTGAAACAACGTATTGAATATCAAATTTTGTAACTGTCACCGAGGTTTGACAGGTTATGATGCCAAATAGAATTTAACAGTTTCTGTCTGTAACTAGTTATAATTCGGCACGCGTTGTTTAGAAGGGCGTTGAACTCGGGTTGGTTGTCTGGAAAATTATTGTTAATTTCGTCATAAATGCATTAACCATTGTTTCTTTTACGAGTGGTGATGCATACATAAATTATGTAAAGTCTATAACAAGACTTTCAAAAATGTGAATTTTTTCGTTCATATTCAACAAATGGAAATCAAAAGCTGATGAAATGTTTAGATGATAAAAACATAAATGTACACTTTGACCTATTGGTTTAATGCCGGCTCTTTTTGAAGATATCTCCCGGTAAAAATATTAACAGAACCTGGTTGATGACAAAAAGGATCTCCAGAAAATATCCCCATTTTCACTTTTTGTGC